ATTCTTTTTCCAGGGGTTCTCATGGCAAGAAGTTCCATTTCTCAGCCGACCTCCCGTGTGATTGAGGCATGCCCAAAGCTGCTGAGGTTGCTGGTATAGTGGATCCATGACCGCAAGAGCAGGAATCTGCCTAAACAGCCAGGATCATCATGAAGAAGACTGACGATCTCGACATCGACGAGGTGCTGCTCGTAGCTCGGAAGTTGTTCGTCATCTCGGGGAGTTATCTTTGTTGTATGTGCCAAGCTCCATGCCTACCGGAAATGGAGTGTCAAAGTCAGTCATGCCATCAATTTCACAGCAAGAGAGCGTCGGCCGCAGCGACAGCCTGTGAAGAAGCCACAGACCTGACAGGTGGTTGACAAGTGCTTGGAGGTGAAAGGAGGCGCAGAGCAGAGTTTCCAGATGCATCTGCTTCTAGCCAGACACGATGTCGCCGCGGCCCTTGTGTGAGTAATAGTGGATGCGAGGATTTCGGCATGGTGCACTCTACTCACGGTTTTTTCCTCCCAGCGTTAGAGGGTCGTGTGCTGTGCTTCATTATCCCGGCTCTTCCCACAGACTCGAGGACATCAGGTCGTATGGGGCACAAGCAGAATGTCGAGTTGCCACACAGCCCAGTCAGGGGTTCCATGTTTAGCGCCGCCAGTCGTTTCAATCGTGAATTCGCATGCCCTCGGTCCTTGAAACCCAAAAGGCTCCGAACCCCACTGTTGACCACCAGAGTTGCTCAAACAGCTAACCTCAAGCCAAATCCTTGAGTCCTACAAATGCCAAGCTTCGGACAAAACCGATCGCGGACAAATCGAACTCAACAAAAACGCCAAGCCAATCTCTAGAGAGGTGAGCGGTACCTCAAGGTCAAGGGTCCAGGATGCATACTCAGAACTTTTCATCCATAGACCTCAGCCATGACTTCCTTAAACGGCACGCCCGTACTCGCGGCATCTTGTAACCTTAGCTGCCAGAGCCCTTTAACCCCAACTCCCAGAGACATACCGGGATCCATCCAGCTACGTAAGTTGGTGAAAAAACCAGACTTGCTCACCCGGAGAGTCTGAGTATACCAATCGAAGACACTTTGGGATCAACATGGTCCCCCTAATATCAGTTGTTTTGGGGGAACTTCAGTATGTAGTAGGTTGCCCAAGTTGTTCTTCCTTTTTTCGGTCCCTCGTACCTTGCGGCCCTGTATATTCAGGGTGCCCCAAACGGGAACCACCTTTCTGACAACCAAATCCTTTGGGTCAGATTGGCCCCGGCAGAGGCAAGCCTGGAAAGCTGGTGCAGATCCCGGAGGGCCAGGTGAAGGGACTTTGCACTACGGCCTGGAGCCAAGGCATATTAGTATATTGTGGTAGAATAGTATGTTCCAGTATAGTGTAGTATATTATAGTATGCTATAGTATGTTTATATAGTAGATTGTCGTATATTATTCCTTGCGTTGATTTCTTTCTGGGGTTGAGAAAGTCAAGGAGACGAGGGACACTTGGCTTCTGGGAAGGGTTCTTGTGGGTGTCAAGGCTTATCTCTACCACTTTGTAGCAGTAGTTGTTCTCCACAGGTATGGAGCTTTGCTCTGTAATCTTTGCTGGCCAGCGAAAGACCCCGAACTTGCAAGTAGCCCCCTAAACAGTAAACCCTAAACTGGGAACAAAAGGTCTGAGCAGCCTAACAGACCAACGCAATGCTTGGCTCTGTTAGCTTGCCGAAAGTTCAAAAGGCATGCTGGCCCATTTTTTTGGAGCGTAACTCTGGGCATAGGGGGTTCGTTTGATAGCTGCGAAGCAGGGGAAATCTGGAATGAGCAAGGGAGCTAGGACTACTGCAGGGTTCGCTGTAAGCGCTGCCTGTCAACTGATTTCGGGATAAGCGCTCGAGTGCCGCAGTGCTGAACATCTTTGTGCCTTGAATTATTTACTTCGTAAATGGGACCTGAGGTCCGCGTCATTTTCCTTGACCAGAGCCCTTTGCTCGCCTCTCGGCGCAGGTTTATCCTGAAAGGAGGGAAGAGCCCTTCAAATATTGGCAGAAATTTGTGCGGGTTTAGTAGCCTCAGAACTGTTATGGAGATTGTGTACGAGACAATCTTACAGCCAGAGACTTCCATCGGAGGTGCGGTTTCTTGACCGTTCGAAGCTTCAGCAAGCAAGGGAGGCTAGTGTGAGGCTTATGACCCTTCAAGCCCGCCTCTCATCAGCCCCTGAGGTGAGGGTCTTCGCTGTAAGACTTGGGGTTGATTCTGGGTTGGTGTAGCGGTTCTTGCATGAGTCCCACGTAGTTAGGATTCGAATAATTCAGTAGTTGGAGAGGCAGCGGGGAATTTGTGCCGTGGGGTTTCAGGATTTAGGCCTCCAAGGAAAAGCTTTGGACAATATTTCGCGCAATAGTCTCAGCACTCATAGAAACAAGTTTGGAAACGATTGGTAAGTAGGTGTCAAAATCCACAAGCCCAGGAGTTGGAGGCCCCCCTGAAGATTTGCGGTGACGTCCACGGCTGCTCCGCTTCCATCACAGATTGTGTCTGCTGTTGCCGGCAGATGTTTCAAATGGATGGGATTCGTGTTCAGGGGCCGATGGGCACTTGATCACGCGCGTTTAAAGCGTAGGGCGATCTCGCATGATCTTGCATAAGCAGACCTATGACGGCAACTTGTGCCCAATCTCAGATGTTCTTCCACAGTGGCTGGATCACACGTTGTACAGACAAAATGCTCAGCTCTGCACAGGCTTTTCCCAGCGAGTCAGACATGGTCTGTCAGATGAGGTCAGTATCATGACCTGCTCCGTCTTTTCGAGCCTCTTGGAACCAAGATCAAACTGCGAAGCTCTTGGCACTTGCTGTTGGCAGTGCGGGGTTAAAGATACATGCAAAGCATGAATGGGAGGACCCATACATCTTCCGCGCCGCCATAGGCACACTATTTCCACAGTGTATGGTTAGGGGTTCATGTTTGTGGCTCAGGGACAGGGATGTTGGACAACAGGTCTAGTCCCGTCTCAAAAATTCGAGGTGGGCGTTCCCCCAGACCATCGACCTATGCCGGGTTTCATTTGTTTTGCAAGGTATGGAGGCTTTCCGCCCGAGAGCAACTACCTGTTCCTGGGCGACTACGTGGATCGTGGCTGGACTAATATGTATGGAAGCCTCGAGGGATCACACAGGGTGGCTGTAGGGAGTATAGCAAGAAATCACTTCTCTGCAAACTTTTTGGCCCAACTGGTCTGTCATTAAATCTATTCCCACGGAGGTGGCAAGCAGAGCTTGGAGACCATCATTCTGCTTTTTTCCTACAAGGCAGGCTGATGCCGAAAGCCGGTTGTTCGGGCATAGGAAATCTAAAATATTGATCTGGACATGAGGAAGCTTATGTCACGTGACCCGTACTTTCTCAACACTGCCAAGCACCGTCTGGATTTCCTCCAGTCCTCATTGCTGCTGCTTGCCAGGTCAAATTCCCTGAGAACTTCTTCCTTTTGCGTGGAAACCACGAGCAGCTGGGCATCTTCGTTGTTTCGATTGTTGAGATTGGCCTACCACTGTTGTTGACATTTTGTGAATGCTGTGGTTATACTTCAATGAGAAGTCTTTTCTACTTTTTACATGATCAGCATGAGGACAGAAACGGAGCATTCATGCCTTTTTTCCGCTCTCCCGGACTTCCTCTGCCACCTTCTCCGGCTGACGAGATGATTCTGTTGCATTTTTGTTCGTCGCTCTCACTCACTCACTGCCCCGTCTTTGGCATGGATAAGTGGAGGAAGGCGTGTGGATTTCTTGGCGTTCTGGGTAGCGTGGCGTTGGAGGCTATGCGGGATGCTGTTTTCCCAGAGAGTAGACAGAAGCATGGCTTTGAACCTCCCCCGAGGTGTGCTTCGATTACGCGTATCTACGGCTTCTACGACGTGGCTCGGTCCTGTTGTATTCGGCTCCAAGTTAGGTAAGGCACTGATTGACAGCCATGCAGCAGCGGAGGTCAAGAAACTCTTTCAGACGTCTGTTAGGCAGCGCCATGCTTCCTGAGGAATGCAAGAGGCGTTACAACATCAAGCTGTGGAAGCAGCCACTGCCTGAGATCGGCAAATGTTTGGAGTGTGTTCTGCGTCACATCAGTGGAGTCAAGTGGATTCCTATTAACGACTATAATGAGAAGGGTGGTAGGGAAGCTTCAGAAGTTCTTCTGCTGTTGCCCCCAACCCCCTTGTCAGAGAGAGCTTGATAAGGAGGCTGTACCCCCTTTTCTGGTCGCTGTCACCATTCGGCAGCGGCTGGATACATGTTGTAGGCTGGCAGGTGCACAATGAACCTTGTAACATATTCGAGGAAGGCCAAAGTGCCTTGCCATTCATTGCAGCACGTGCTATGGATTGATCCAACTGTTTTGGTCACCCGTTTTGCGTTGAAGGGAGAGCAAGCTGAGGTTCTGCGACGTTTTCAACTGCATGCCGGTGTGCGCAGCTTTGATGGAACAACACACGAAGGGTTTGAGCTCAAGGTTTTGAGACCTTGCAGTTTGGCACGGCAGAGAGAGAGAGAGAGAGTTTGCTTCAGGAAGTTGTGCTTCAGAGCTTTCTGTGCTGTGATTCCTTGGATTTGGGCGTGTTTGCGCTGTAGGGTTGGCATCAGTGGGCTAGCAAAACAAAAGCACTACAGCATCAGAGAAAGCCACCACCATTCATCATGTAGCCCATTCAGAAGAGCCCCACCCATGAAGCTTTGCAGTAGTTCATGTCCGGTCGCGTGCTTCCAAATTCCACCTTTTTGAGCGCTAATGACAAAGACCGCCAAGTCGAGCAGGATCCATGTAAGGCCTTGCTCCTGGAAGACCCCCCGACCATTGATGCTATCTAGGACAGACTGATAGTTGAATCGGTGGCTAGGTGATAATTAAACACTTACTCAAACTCAGCCCAGCACGGCTTGATTTCTAAGCAGCCTCCGCCCCTGGGGATAGGCAGGGGTCATCAAGATGCCTTCGTAAGATGCTCATTGCCTGAGGCTATCATCGACGAGAAGATCATTTGCATGCACGGCAGCTTGTCTGTAACGCTGTCTCCTTCGCTGTGGAGACATAAATGCGGCGCATGGCATGGCTTCATGAATTAGTGAGTTCAACATGGGAAAGATGGGATTTCCAGGATCCGGTTAGATTGGTAGACATTCCTAGGCCTGAAGGCGCTAGAACGGATCTTGACATCTTTGGGGCTTGCTGAAAAAGAGATATGACGTTTTGTACACATTGCTCACGCATGGAAGCGGCGATCTTTGAGAAGAACGTTGACACCTCCTGTAGGAGTCGTGTCCCAAATTCTCTGGCCTTAAGCCTCTCGGCGCTCGAAGCTGGGCCTTTGGGGAATTTAAATTCAGCGACCCATGCTCACCTGCATATCCCGACTCGAAGTAAACAAGCCCTAAACTCTTTCCAGCCACGCGGGGGGGAGAAAAACCCTAAACAGCGTTGTCGTAGATGGATACGAGCCCACGTGGAGCGGTGTGACACTCAGCGCATCACTTTCTGAAGCGATGGAGTCCAGATGCAAAACGGAGTGGGGAAGTCCAGAACGCAGCATAATACAGGTCAGCCAGGACACCGGCTACCTTGAAAAGAGCAGAATACAGCCCTGTACCAAGCGTGGAGCCCTACATGTTGGGTGCCATGAGACCAAGGTGGCCTCTCACCGGAGATCACAAGCTTCGACCAGGCATTCGCGGGTTTGGTGGTTGATATCCTGTTTCAGTTCGTTTTTCACTGACGGTGTAAGATAGCAGTGGGCTTCTACACGTCATTATAAGGGCAATCTAGATCCTGCATGCGCTCAACTCTGACTTCTTGCACAACTGATGTGGCCAATGAGTGGAGAACAGCTAGCAGATACCAGATCCCAGGCCTCTTAGCACCAATTGAGGATCCCTACAGTGGCCCTGCTGAACGCTCGGTCAGAATCCATTCCCCGAACCCCAGACTCCGGGAAGCCAAGCTTCCAGGTGAAGAGGATCGTCCGCCCTACGGATGTGCCGGACACTGGCTTGATTTGCGACCTCCTTTGGGCAGACCCTGACAAGGACGTCATCTCTTTCTATCAAAGCTCTTAGCATTTTGGCTATGTGAGGGACACACTGCGTGTGTGAACTTAACGATTCTCTTCTTTTACCTTGGGGGAGCGTGAACAGAAGGAGACTCACAGCTTGCCAGGATGTCCGATGTGAGACTAAGCTGTGCAGAGTCGTTGCTTCCGTGCGTGAGTGGCCGCAAGCCTGAAGTCCGCGACCCTGCCCATTCGCAGGACATCGCTGGATGGGCTGAAAACGATCGTGGCGTGTCTTTCATCTTTGGCCCGGACGTGGTGACAAGCTTCTTGCAGAAGCATGAATCTTGGATCGAAAGCCGTCCCCGCCCAGCTTTCTTGAAAAATGTTGTCAATTTACGAAGCCATGCGGTCTCAGGAGCACCGCCAGGATTGTGCTTAAGAGGGTTTATTTGGAGAAGATGGCAACATCATATTATTACGAGATATTACGAGTGTGTTGTATTTTTCCCATTCTTATTTGTTCTTGTATCATTTCTATCGGGGCATTCTTCTACGGGACCGTCCAACCTACTGCCAGTTTCGAAGCACTGCCATCGTACAGGGGTTTGATGGTTCTGACATGTTCCTTGGCCAAGCCCCCACTGCAGCAGAGCGTTAATTATTATAGCATATTATGGCATATTACAGTATGTTATAGCGTATTATAGAATACTATGGCATATTATGGTATATTATGGTAGAGATGACAGTAAATTAGCCTGAACAAGCGTTGAGAATGTCCCTGTTGTCGAGCATGTGAAACCACAAACACCTGAACTCTAGGGGCACTTGGACATGAACATGACCCATCATACTCCCCCCTGCCATCGCAATACCGTAAGAATCGATCCATATTGTCCCCTTGCAGCTACCTGTACTGGAAGTGGATGTGGCACTCATCACCATGGGCGGAGGAGTGTAGTAGGGGAGGGGATGATGTTGGCTGATTTCCTTCGTTGCAAAGGACATGGACCTTGTGTGCCGCGCGCACCAGGTCGTGGAGGATGGCCACTGGGAAGAGATTGGAAGTTCAGAGAGATCAGCTTAAAAATTGCAGGTCCCCTTCATGGGACAAAATCATAATCTCAAGTCATGTCTGTGTATGGAAAGGCACCATACGGGGAATGTAGCGATAGTATCCAGTTTGATAGTTATCCTTAACACGTTGTCCTTACTTGGGGCCCTACTTTGCTCTATTTGTAGCTCTAAGGTTGAATCCTAGCGTCAGTTTAGAGCACGGGTGGGATTAGGTTGGCGGTACGTATGTCGGGGCCATCCTCAATTAGGATCCTTGCGGGGTTCTTTCAACACGACGGGTTTGACGTCTGTTTCTAGTGGTCGCCTTAAGCAGGCCTTTGCGCGTGCAGCGATGATGGTGGGGCATGGTGGGGCTACTTGGGGGTTTCCCAAAAGTAGGGGTACCATTTTGGGGGTCCCAATAATAAGGACTATAGCATTTTGGGGTCTATGTTGGGGTCCCCTTATTTTGGGAAACTACTACTTCACCCCGCACACCCTCAAGCCAGCATGCTGCGAATCCGTTTGTAACCCAGGCTACGAGTTCTTTGCAAAGCGACAGCTCATCACGCTCTTCAGTGCGCCCAACTACTGCCACTTGGCTCCTCATTACTAGTATCTGATTCTACTTGACATCTGCGCAATTTTGGACCCGAGACCAGGATCAGTTGGGCAGTCTCAGATGCACATGATTTTGATAAGCCATGCTGACAAGACCAAGGAAACGTAGCAGATGCAGGAGCAAAGAGGGGTAGCAGCCAAGCCAATCAGGACAGCCAGAAATAAACAGCAAGACCTACGAACAAAGAGGGTTGAATTGGCAGCAGCAAGACAATCGGTAGCTGCAGTATTTGCTCAGCTTACGCTGAGGCTGAGGTTTAGGCTCAGTCTCACTCAGAGTTTTCAGGACAGGGTTTCAAGGTCCAAGGTCTGCAGCTTGGATCAAGGTGTGCCTTCTCTTCCTGCAGCACTTCGTCATATTTAATATTCGTTATGAAATCCTGAGGTACCATGCGAGAGTGGGAGTGATCATTACGGGAAGTTACTCGAGAGAGTTGTTTCCTAGAGGCAAGAATGAAAGTGTGTCAAGGCTGCCAGAATATTGGGAAGGGCATTCTTCTTAACGGTATCCACGCCCCTTGTACCTGCATGCTGCGTCTGGATTCTCCCTTATGTCCTCGACTTGGTTTAGCAAGAGCCGCAGACTCGGACCTTACCTTAGCTACATGAGCCACATTGTGACCAAGGAGTCCTTTTATGTATAATGGAAAAGAAAATGGAAACTACTGTAGTATATTGGGGTTATAGGGATGATATTGGGATAGTGGAAAAGAGAATGGAAACTACTATGTCATAATAGCTTTGCCATCAACCAAGGGTCTCCCTACACCCCACCGCCGCGCCCAGGTGGCGAGTTCGACAACGCAGGCGCCATGATGTCCATCGACGAGACCCTGATGTGCAGCTTCAAGGTGCTGAAGCCCGTGACCTGACCCAGTCCCTATTATAACATAGTAGTTTCCATTCTCTTTTCCACTATCCCAATATTATCCCTATAACCCCAATATACTACGGTAGTTTCCTCTTTCTTTTCCATTATCCCTAGGTAGTGCTACTTCCTTGTTCCAGGATGATGGGCAGTAGGTTTGGTTGTGGGATTTTTTTTTCCGTTCGGGTGATGTTTAGATCGGGTGGCTTCACGTTCTCGAAATACCCACAGCTTTCTAGAATGTAATGAGTGGGAATGTATCTCCTAAACCTTTGTAGCTCCCTGAATTCACAAATGCACCAGTGTACATGCGAGCCTCTGCCCTTTGTTCGTTGGTGCCTTAGCGAGAGCATTCTCAAGATGTTATGTCCCTTGTAGATCCTTACTGCCCTCAACATGGAGGGTTCTTTCTCAGCTAGCTGGTTGTCGGTGAACATGCTCGTGAAAATGCACATGCCTGCAGCTGCAGCCTGTGCACTGAGTAGAAGTTTTAAGCCCAGTAATTGGCATACAGTTGACACAGCGTCGTTCAATGGCTTTGTTTCAGCATTGCTCGAATTTCTGGAATGAACCTTTCGGCCGCTGTCCGGCGTCTGAAGCCCAAACCTAAAACATCCTCATCCCAACACGCCAGACGCTCAATCCTGCTGAGCTGTGCAAAAGTGTCAGGCCTGGATAAATCATGGGCCCTACACTGTCGTTCACAAGATCTAGGCTTCATCGCCCCCGTAGAAACACCCTAATAAGCCCAGGTGAAGAAGAAGTAAGCTGCAATGAAGAGGAAGGATCTGCCAGCTGCACTGCGCGCGGAGGCAGTTGGGCGCAGCAAAGGCTTACGGGCGTTCCCAAGTCCATAATCTGCGGATGGTCCTTCGCCATGTCCACGGAAGATCATCTGAGAATTAAAGAAGGACCGTGAAAAGAACCATCACTTTGATAATTTCACATGCTTGAGCCCATGACTACATCTGCCAGATTTAGGCGTGAGAGCTAGAAATACACCCTTCCTTGACCCTTCTTCCAAGGGTAGGATGTCAGGTGGACTTTCTGGGAAATCGGCAGCGGTCCACTTGATTTTCACCGTCCGCATAAGTTCAACATTTGAGTCCATAATTTGTTGAAATTTGGGAATTTGTCAGCAACAAACAGCACGCTGTTCAGAGTCATACGCATGCACGATGTATGATCTTGCCGCAATGTTCCAGCGCTGTGAGAACAGAGTGGGTGCCGTTCTTTAGGCAGCAGATCACAAATCTGTAGACCTACAGAATCGAGAAATCTACGATGTAGTTTACCCCTATCCTTCTTGGCCCAAAGTACGGCCCAGAGAATTCCAGTGAGCCATATGTGGCTTGAATTTTGGTGGGTGCTTAGGGGTGATAATGAGAAAGCTCTGGCCATGGCTGTTATTACTTTGGTCATGATTGCACATTTTCGGATACTAATACGAACATTGCAGCCAGGAGTGTTACCTGATCTGTCAGTCTCATATCTATTTCTTTCCGTGGGAGAGAGCCCCGCCTTCCTTGTTTGTCATGTCTTTGGGGTCCCTCGAGCACTGGGAATTCGGCAAAGTCTTATTGCCCAAACCCCCTCAATCCTGTAATTGCCCTGAACCCTTAGATCCCGAAAACCATAATTACCTAAACTCTAAACCCCAAGACCCGTAACCCCTGAACCCTTAACCTAAATAGTAGTTTCCATTTTCTTTTCCAGTATCCCATTATATATCTATAATCCCTATATAACCCATTATCAGTAGTTTCCATTTTCTTTTCCATTATCCCCTATATAACCTAAACCCTAAACACTAAACCCTATACTACAGTAGTTTCCATTTTCTTTTCCAGTATCCCTATATAGCCCCTAAATATTAGAAGCGGTCCTGGGGATGCTGCGCGCGCAGGGCAGGATGCGAATTGACATTTCGAAGGTCCGAGTTCACAGAGTTTAGGGTTTAGGGTTTAGGGTTTTGCAATGCAAGACATGTGGGTATCTGGCACTTTATTTGGGGACGATATTGGTCCCAAATTGCTGTGGAATTGAGTATCAGTAGTCGGCATTTAGAGTAGTAATGCCACTAAGAAGGTATGCCCCTTTTGGTCCACAACTTGTGGTGGTAGTGCCTTCTTCACATGTCATGCTACTTACTTCAATTGCCACGGACACATTACTCATACGGGACGCCTGGCTTACTTCCTGAAATTGTCTGGAGAACTTGGACCCAAGTGACATGGAGTCAAAAAGCACCTCTGCATCTACCGAGCACGGGGAGATTCGTAGGCGAACTCCTGGTGCTTGATAGCAAGCAATGTTTGGGAACATGGCCCAGGACGGTTCCAAATCAAAGCTCCGGCCATCGGGTCCACAGTGTCTGGCGTAGAGCTGACATGACACGGTCTTTGAGGCGCTTTCAGGAACAGCAACGCCACCTGCAGTGCCACCCATGTAGCTACCAGCTCAAGGCTGGTTTACAGTCAGACTCAACTTAAGTGGGTGCAGGCATGGTTTTCCAGACCACAGGGCCAGGCGTGCTCCATAACGGTCCAACATCCGGGGCTTCGTGCAAATGCGAACTGTTCCCAGACTTGGCGTGATGCACACCACAGTAAACAGTGGCTCTGAAGGATATAGGGCTTACGTTCGGGGATATTTGGGGATAAACTATACAGGAACCTCTCAAAGCACACAAGTATAGAAGAAGTGATCCTGTTACAGTCTGTTTCTCCCTACGGTTCCTAAGGCTAAACGAACCCTTTCCTGGGAAGCCCGCTATTTTGTGTTTGGAGAAGGAGAAGAATTATGTGCATTGTCTATGGTGGATGCAGTATACGTATTAACCGGCAAATTTCAAATACCTACACCGGGGAGTAGATTTTAGTTCAAGGTGTCCGTCCTTAGCCGGAGCTTTGTGCTCAGCAAATCGTCGTTTGCGAAGAGGGCGGCCAAGACGACATATGCGATGCTGGTTGTGGTTGACTTCTAAGTCTTGTGGCATGTATGGGGTTTGGGACTTGCGGGTTGGAAGGTGTTGTTTGTCGCTGCACTCTCTGCCAGCGGTCGTGTGGACGCAGCTAAATAGCAAGGAGTGACTGCAAGCCTTTGTTGTGAAAGGTTGTATGGCTCTTTGGGTCATTAGACGTGCTATCCGGTTCACAAAAGCACCCTCGGCATGAGGAGTATTGTTCTTGACTCAACGCGAGCAGTGCTTCCTGAGGATTCGCAGAAACGGGTCTAGCCCTCACTTGTAGACATGCCCTCACGACGCCGAACTTGAACCTTGTATGGATCACTTCAACAGGGCTCTCTTGTGTAAAGGCCATCTTTTTAGTTTCCATGCTTGCTTGGGGAGGGTACCGTATCAGTCACTGGTACTTGCTGCCTGGGTAGCCAGAGATGACAATGATTTTGCTTCTATTGCATAGGGAAGTCCGGAAAGGTGACTAGAGGTACTGTCGGAAATGCTTTGGGAACTATCCGACTTGCTACAAGGATTACGTCTCAGATTAAGAAAGCGACAGCAGCTTTATGAGAGAGGAAGACTGCTCAAGTTATGGCTTATGAAGAAGTCACATGCTATGTACCTCATAGAAAAATGCCGCACTGTGGCGTCCGGTCTCCCGGGCTCTGCCTGAGGAGATTGCTCCCTGTTCCCGATTAACGCTCACCAAGGAGCCAGTCAAATCTGTGTGTCTCCTAGTGCTGTCAGACATCTTCTTTCTAGCGAGTCAACCAGCTGCATTGTCGTGTTTTGCACCTGCGGTCGCTTTCACAAAGCTGATTCACCCCTAGTATGGTGGGAGGCGGGTTGGTGCCTGATCGTTTCTTGTCGAGCAGATCTCTGACGTACCAGTTTTCATTGGATTTTCCATCTGAAATCTGGTTCTCTTTTTTTCCCAACCGTATACCCTAAATGTCAGTTTTCCGAAGTAGGGGGACCTTAATGTACTATAATCCTTATATGTCCTTATTATGGGCTCCCCAAGACGGTATCACTAACCCCCCACCCTGAATCTTAAACCCTACACCCTAAAAAGTAGTTCCTAACTTGGCAGATATGCTGCCGACTTTTCCGGCACAGATGCCCGCATTTCCCGCTGCAGCTTCCAGTGTCCAGCATGCAAGCCACCATAGCTGCCGTAACAAAACACGCACCTACCTACCTACCTGCCTACATACCTACATACCTACATACCTACCTACCTACATACGTACATACGTACATACGTACATACATACGTAC